GTTATTTAGAGCAGTTCTACGAATAAGATTATCGAAATGACAATATTTAATGTTTACTTGAAATGGGAGAGAATTGCTGTGAGTAGTTTATAGAATAAAACCAAAAATGTACATTTTGCTGAAACCCTACTTATAAATAATACGAAATACAATAAAACTGTACAAAAAAAGATCATTTTGCAGTGCATGTGAAGAATGAGGCAAAAGAAGAGAAATGCACAGAGAAGATGCTGACAGACACGTTATAGAGAGACAGTTTTTAAAGGCAGTTTGTCATTACAGACTGAAGCTGCTTCTCTCTGTCTTCCTTTCACTGAAATTGTGTTTGCAGATGGCTGGAAGAATCTTGTCTTACAGGAAGACAAAGAAAGATCGACTGAGCGTTAACTAAGACCAGGAAACACTGATGAAATCATCAACATCCCAAACAATGAAAGTGTCAAATAAAAAAAGAGAAATGATGAACAGAAAGCCTGAGAGTTTATCACAAGATCTGAGACAAAGTGCTGTGTAAGTATTGGTGGTAGCCCTCAGATGGATCAGCTGAATCACATTCCTAACATGCCAACCCCAAAGCTCTCTGGTTCACCCAGTGACAACAGAGTTCAGCTTGAAGCATATTTCACGGCTGAAAGTGACGCAGGAGCAAACACCACTCAGAGCCCGGGAATTCCTCAAAGGCAGGAGCAGGAAACAGGACAGTTCATCTCTCTGACACGAGGGTCCAAGAGAGGCAGCCGTCAGACACTTTATCCTTTGTGTGACTGAGGCTTTTGATGTGTACAGATCTGAGAACAGAAGTGATATTCTTCATAACATCCTGTGTGGCCAGTTTAAAGGTCCCCTATTATACTGTTTTTCATCAATATATTATAGGTCTCAGATATATACAAAACATGTCTCTGAAGTGTTTAGCTCGAAATACCAAACAGATCATTGAAGCATCCCATAATCCCCTCTGTTTCAGCCCTGTTTCAAAAGTGCTGATTCTCTGTCTGTTACTTTAGATGAAAATAAGGAGCCACTCCCCACGCCCCTCTGAGAGAGATTTGGTTAAAAAGAACACAATGGTGCTCTAGGAGGAGATTCAGGGGATAAGGGGGGGGGGGAGGTTACCTTGGTTGGTGATTGGCTAATGGTTACACAAGCCAAAAAATCGTTATGACATCATAAAGTGGCCAAAATCTGATCAGCTCATTTTCAGACAGGTTTTTATATAAATGGATCAGGACAAAAAGAGAGAGAATCTTTTTTCCTGAAACTTTCAGAATCTCTTTACACAGAGGGGACACATGTTGATGTATAAGAGACATGAAAAAGTGGATTTTGCATAATAGGTGACCTTTAAAGGAGCACTGAACAGATTTTTTTTTCATTTACTAATCAAACATTATAGTTGAGTGTTTTCAACTATTACTAAGTTGCTTCATGGGAAATGTAGGTTACAGAGTTTTGGGGTTTGGCCTAAACTAGTTTGAGTAGATTTGATGTATCTCCAAGGCAAAAACAGAGATTAAAAAAGCAAACTGTTGAAGTTATTATTATAAAACATATTAAACAAAAGATTGTATATTCTTTTGTGATATAACTTAAGAAAACAATCATTTGTGACCAACTAACATTATTTTTATACACATAAGTCAGTTGGCAGAAGGACATTTCATTTGGCCAGTGTATGATCAAAGGGGGAATACAAAATAAGTCTTAGTGTCTCTTTGTATTTGACTTTTGTTATCTTTTGTTTTGTGACAAGTTAGTTGATGGAAATGTATGACACGCAATGTGCTGAAATAAATATAAGGTATTAAAAGGGGACATAGTGTATCAGGGCACCATAACGGAAATGGGCCATTTAAAAAACACATTAAAGCACTCACTGCGCTGGCTGCTAGTGTTTAATTTAAAACCAATTTGTAGAATAATTCAAATTGATTAAATGGTGAAAAACATGTTCCTGGAGTAGCTACCTATTTGCAAGCTTTGAAATAAGTTAACCCTGGCAGGATTTTGTGGGCTACCTCGCTCAGAACACATGAGACTCAACAAGCCTTTCAGATTCAGCTTCTCTTCCTCTATCTTTTCCAAGGTGCGCCTTATTTTTCTCGCAGGCCATACAGAGCATAGTAGGCTTATTTGGAGTTGGGCTTTAAAAGACACGTGCTAAAATGCAGCCTTTTAGAAAGAGGGAGAACACATGTAACTTTAGTATAAGAAAAATATGGGATTTTTTTGTGTTAAAACCGTGTTAAAATGTTCTGGTAGAAACCTATAATACAAGTATGAACCTGTACATGCATAACATGTTCACTCCGCTCTGCATCGGCCAAACGGCTCGCTGCACCCGCACTGCGAGGGGGACCCAAGTTCCCATCAGCAAAAACATGTCGGTTTGCTATCCTGGCTCCAACATGGTGGAATGAGCTCCCCATTGACATCAGGACAGCAGATAGCGTGCACATCTTCCGGCGCAGACTGAAAACTCATCTCTTTCGACTCCACTTCGAGCGATAGAAGCACTAACAAAGAATTGCTAACAAAGCACTTATATACTAATAAAGGACTGGCTTATCTAAAGCTAGTTGAGTAGCACTTGAAATGTTTTAGCTCTTTGAAACCTGATTCTGTTTTCTTCAAATTTGTATCTTGTTGGTCGAATGCACTTATTGTAAGTCGCTTTGGATAAAAGCGTCAGCTAAATGCAATGTAATGTTCTTTTAAGTGGGTAAGGTATTTTGCAGTGGCGAACCGTCAGGGCCTTCAAGGTATTCAGAGAATACCCTGGAACACTCAGATAAAACAAACAAAAAATCGATTTAATTATATAAATAAAATGTAATAAAATGTAATAAAATGTATATAAAATGAATAAATGAGAATCGTATCTGTGTTGTTGATCTGTAATATTACAGTGGTACGTTAATTTGTTTGTCCTTCTCGGACCATGCACTACGCATTTCAGTGGTTTTGTGTTAGAAAAGAAAGCAACCAATCAGATCTTGTTCTGGGTCTCTGGGTAGAATATCCTTCAACCAAGGTATTCTATATCCTTGATAGAATACCCTGGCCGTTGCACTGAATGAGAGCGTACCTTTGGATTGACAGTTTGATCAACCAATCATATATTGATTTGTAGCCAATGGGCGTATTCTTTCAGAGTTTCCCTCGGTTCCAGGGTCCTCTAGAACGCCCGGTAGTTAACTGGCTCGAGACAGAGGATCGATTCTAGATGAATGCGACGAAGCAATTCATGCCGTTTTATTGTTTTTAACGTTGAAATGGCAAGTGCAACAGGTGAAGATGAAGTTGTTGCGGAATTGTTGTGAGTACCCTTTTCAAGATGACAATTCAGTGAAAAGACGGACATTATAACGCCAGGGGGCGGCGGCGGCGGGGGGTGTGTGTCTACAGAAGGTCGAGTTGTGATAGACACGGTTCGCCACTGGTATTTTGAACTAAGTGTTTCAGACAATGCCACAACACTATTGTTCAATATTCCACCTGAGAAAAATGTACAAGGCACATGCATTAAGTAATACAATTCAGAAAATCAAGAGAAAGGCCAGAGTACAGGTGAATACATACTTTCATTCGCCAAGGATTCAAAGTCAGGACATTTCAGCTGCTTCGATTTGACCATTTTCTACATCTCTAGCTCTCAAAACCCCTAACTTATGGCAACAACATTCAGAAATAGAAATAGAAAAAGCATTAAATTGCTGTAGCACTCCAATTAGGCTGGAGTGAATCATTCAGCCTATTCAGAAAAATAAGTGCTGTGGTGATTCACAGTGTGCGGAGCGTGGAGAGTTCTTCTTCACCTGGAGTTTCAGCGTCATTACCTTCTCTGACCTCACAGATGTGGCACAAGAGGTAAATATATAACAAGTACACGAAGAGGGGATAATGCTAAAGCTTAAAACACACTCCATTAGCACTGAGCAAGAGTAATCATGTTCATCTCCCTCCCTCTGGTTTGGTACAGAAGTAATGATCGTAGAAGTTGTATTTATAATTACCGGCTTCCTGCACAACATCAGTACCCCATTTGGATTTTGGAGAGGAAATATCTCTTACACTTTATGGTATTGAACAAACACTAATGTGCAGGAATCCTAAAGCAGGATCTGTTTTAAATAAAATTACAGCTTTGGAGGATCGTGGGTTTCCTTTTGGGAGCAGGACCAAGAGCTTAGTGAAAGATTCCCCCCACATGTTCTATAAGTAGCTACACATGTGCTCAATGAAGACATGCATCAGTTATAGGTGCTGCCCCCCCTGTGGTTAAGGGCGGTCAGAAGACGTGAAGTGAGAGCGCAGCATCAAACAGAGCGCCCATCTGAAACCGGATTATGCAATATTTATCTGTTCTCTTCTCAGGGAGCACGGCACATGAACTCGGGGAACTTTCAGAAGCAAAGGATTAATTTGCACGCATTGGAATTAGCGCTCAGATCAAAGAGAGTGAGGTGTCATGGGAGTATCCAACCTCCCCTGTATCTAGAATAGAGATTTCACTTCGACGTGTACCACTTCTATTTTCATAATTATACGGAGAGAGAGAGAGAGAAAAAAGAGGGAAACATCAAGGGGGGATAGCTGGAGTGGGATTTAATTAACCACCATGTATATGCAACACAAGTCTAGCAGACCAAAGCAAAGATAGTACACAAGGAAGGACAGAGTAAACAGCGAGCAGAACAAAGTTAGCTAAAACATACACAGAGATTTTCTCTCCAGCTCGGAGACTAAACCAGACTAGCCGACTTTATTCATATTACTCTGGGGGAAATACAGATTGTGAATTGGGAGTGTGTTTATTTGCAGATTTCCTCTTTATAAACTGAAACGGCTGCATCGCTTTTTACCCTGAAGGTACACCATTATGTAAGGATCCAGGCAAGGACAAGAGAGCCATTAGCTTTAACACTTGTGGGTAAAACACACACACACACACACACACATAAAACACACACAGACAGACTGAGAGTCATTCCTCTTACCGTCACAGTCACCCAAGTGGGCCACGTTTCCCTGTTCAACATCTTGCTCGAACGGCAGTCTGCAGAGGAGAAGAGACACGGCCATTAATCAGAGGAGCCAGCAGCACAGATCCTCTCTGATAGAGGAAAACCATCTCAATGTTACAGCAGAGGACACGTTACAAGGCAGCGTGTATCCCTGCAAGCTGCTTCAACACTTTGATTGTGTAAGGCTTTGTTTTTATCATGGAAAAAAACCTTCATTAATACAGCAAAAGAACCCAGGAGGCCCCATGCAATAATCACCATTATAATTCAAAGATTACCACTTATGCCTGAAGGGGCATTAATTAAGCAGATTGAATTACAAATATTTCTAGGTCAGCATAATCGTCTTAACGTTGAATGTTTGTGGCGTAAATATAAAATCCACATCTTTAAGAATTAAGGAGTTAGAGTGTGAAAATCTGCATTATTCATTCATATGGAGGTGGTTAAAATGATATCATAAGATCATCATATAAGGTGTAAGGAAATTCATATATAGCTCGGTGGAAAAGTTACGAAAGTGAATCTCAAACTTTACTCATAACTTACACGTCTACAGAAATATCAAAACACATTTCTACAACTCAGTACTCTTGATTTAAAACTCATTTCCCATTCTGGCAACAGGGGAGCGTGGAAAACTCAAAGGAGAAAAACATATGATGAGGTGAGGAAGCCGAGAGGAAATGAGAACAGCACAGAGTCCAGGTGCTCCCAAAGAAAAACACAACTGCTGTTAATCATGGCTCATATCAGGGAAAACAGCTCGAAGTAACAGGCCTTGGTCAATGTGTGTGTGTGTGTGTGTGTGTGTGTGCGTGTGTGTGTGCGTGTGTGTGTGTGTGTGTGTGTGTGTGTGTAGGTGTGTGTGTGTGTGTGTGTGTGAACTGAGGGGGATTGAGTGGAAATACCTTTAACTAATTGATACAACACACACCACACTGCATATGCTATAATCATCAATACATAATGTAGCACACTTTACAACTCATTTGTACCTAAACCAGAGACACACTGGGTTTTTTATCTGATCTCACACACACACACACACACACACACACACACATATATTTAACTATATTCTAACCTTAAACTTTGCACATATTTTTCCAAAATAAAGTCACACAGACGTGCAGAGCAGTCTGCCCATAACTGATTAGAGTTCAGCCGGTGCTCTCTGGTATGCGAGGTTAAGGAGATAGAAAGTCAGAGACACTGCTGATACAGACTGTTATGACTAGGACTTATGGAGCCATTGAACTGACTCATCTTTGGATAAAGAAGTTCATCCTGCTCTTTTCCAGGATTAAAAGAGTCAGGGAACGACTTCAGAATAGATGGATGCTTACAATGTGACTGCTTACATGTATTCAGTTGTGTTGCTCATGTTCTGTTTCTCTTGGCTAAACTTTTTAATGTAAACCTTTTAGTAGCATGAGATCTAGTTTCTTGTCATTGCTCCAAAATGAACCAACAAAATAAGAAATCTGCCATCCAGGACCTCCCAAAGGTCACAAATAAAGCACTTTATATCTTATTTGTCTTATCCACACACACAAGAAAATACATCTTACTATTAATTCATGTTGATATCAAGGCATATTTTTTAGAATGACAAATATATAAGTTGACCTAGAGTATACATAATGACCAAACACTTCAGACTTGTTTAAATAAAGATCCATCAGTGAGAATTTGACAGCAGGTGACTTTATGCAAGCGTATTTAAGTAACATTTAGATAAATAGGAGCTTATTTAAAGTTACATGGCTACAAAGAATATTTTGAATGCTGGCCAACATCTTCTTCTTTTTGCTGATAAAAGGCATTATAATACAATATATTGTGGTTAATATGGATGGATTCCACAATGTTTGCTTGATCACTTGTGGTAATGCGTCCAAACCCCAAACAGCACTTTGTATTGAATAGGAAAGTCTTTACAGAGAAGTAAATAACCATTTAAAGATCTACATGGCTCCACTAATAGCTCCGTTACACTGAATCACTATCTGGCCTACGAACAACATTTGCACAAAAAGCTCTTTGGAGGAGTGACGGAGCAGGAGTCAGTGTTGTAATTAGCTAAAGGCTCGGGCAGCAGCGCGGCCAACGTCCACGCTTTTAATGCCTCGAAATCACCGTGACAAATGAGTGCAAGTGCAGCGAGGACCAGCAGCAGCAGGTTGTCACCCTAATAAAGAAAAATGTTTTGTTTTGCAGTTGGCTGACTCTCACGCACTGTTGGTCATTACTTTGAATACATTTGATTGGCCCGTTGGTCTCTGTGTGCGTGCAAGGTTGTTTTATTGTTTTGTTTTTGACAGTGCTTTTTATATCCGGCACATTCTTCTACATGTAGGTACATTGGTTGTATATTTTAAGACTTAATAATAAAAGGGAGATTGATAGAGACCATATGTGTGTTTACAACAATGATTCCCGGTACTTGTAACCCAGGGGGGGTATTTCTCCTTTTAGGTATGTTTAAAGATCGTGGCTCAGCACATGGAATAGAAAATAATAATTAGATGACCTAAATACTGATTGTATATGACGCCCAAACTTCACATGTTCAACTGATTGTTATACAGATCAAAACACACTGAAACATACCCATTCCTATACAGAAAAATGTGCTTATTGTAGTCAGGAAGCCACTAAAAGTGTTCATTTTATACATAACAACTACATATTTTAAATTTGTATTTGGAATTTCTAGCCTACAGTTTACAGTAATTAAAAAGGTGTTTGAAACCACTGTATTGAGTTTTGAAACTAAACAAGTTGGTTCATGCCTTTAGACTCATGTAACACATTTCAACAAGATGGTAATTAGCATGAAAAAAAAAATATAGCGATCAATTTGACAGGATTGTTTTGTTTCAATATTTTCACTGGCAGAAACAAAAACAGGTGAGAATTGTTTTGTCTCACCTTGTTTAGCAGTACGATCACGACACTCTGGGACAATAAGAAACTCATTCGCAGAACAATAAAACCAAACATAAAACCATGTCGCAATAAAACTCCCACAACAACTGTTTGTATACACAATACAAAACTTCCTTCCCTCGGAAACTTACCAAATTACAACCTAATGTCAAATAACATCCCCTGCTAAACTCTCCTCTGGCGTCAGTTTGCAATGAGAGGTTGCATTAGTCCACAAGGAGGAAAACCACAGTAACTCAATGCACAATCGATTGCCGACTTGACTGCCCTTGGAAAATCAAATCAAGACCGACACAGAGGCCTTTAATATTATGAGCAGGTAGCCCTGGGTGGTCTAAAGGCCCGTGTTGTCTGTTCTGCTGGCACTACACCTGTGTTCAGAGGGCCTAATTCAATAAGAGCCCTGACTAAACAGAGATTTGATTTCACAGGAGGGAGGCCGCTAGGAAGACCGCTGAGTTTCAGTAGCAGGAGGAAAGGTCACACCGACATACACACACACACTGATATTCACACATATCTTCACAGCACACTGTCTGAAAACATCTGCAAAACATGGACAGAGTTACGCAAGAGAAACAAACACAGAGCTCTCCTCTCCGTCACACACCTACCCAGTGTTTACGACCAGCGCTTGATAACACACAAAGTGAAAAAACATTGCATTGTTTAAACACAGCTGCAGACATCTTGAATCAATAATGTAGACAGTGTGCGGACTGGTTGACAGGCAACTTAGAGAGAGCAGATGTTACTCAGAGGCTCAAGTAACCGCAGATAGAACCAAGGACTTCTTGACTAGATAAAAAAAATATATATATGGGACATGTCTAAGGATGGTCTGCTGGGTGTGCTGTCGGGAAAAGAACCTTGAGAGGAATGATAACATGGAAATGAATCAAATCCAAACAAAACAAAACAACAATAAATTGGAACAAGAAGAGGAAACAGGGAAAGGTGATAAAACCAAACTACAGACAGACTGAAAGGGGCCCTATTATGCCTTTTGGGGTTTTCCCTTTTCCTGTGGTGTGTTATATAGGTTTTTGTGCATGTAAATGGCCTGCAAAGGCTACAATCCCAAAGTTCCCTCCAGAGGGAGTTTCTCTCCCACACTTAAACATTAGACAGTAGAGGCACAAGATACACATATGAACCTGAAGATGAGCATAATAGGGCCCCTTTAAAGAAAAACTCAAATGGACCAGGTGACACTATATTGATGCAGGATGTAGTGTGTGTGTGTGTGTGTGTGTGTGTGTGTGTGTGTGTGTGTGTGTGTGTGTGTGTGTGTGTGTGTGTGTGTGTGTGTGTTTTCTCAAAGTGATGTCGACACTATTGGAGAGATGTCATACCGTGTTCCAGGCCTGAGGAAAGAGCAGGTGCTTCCTCGGGTCCAGCCACAGTAAGGATCTCTCGAGGCGATACAGTTCCTGCAGAGACAAGAAAAATCCCTTGAAAATCAATCTCCTTTTCACTTTAACATTTCCTTTAGCTTAAATGTTGAATTCTTGACCACGACATACTATACAGGGGCTCTCCTCCAATTTCACTCATGAAGTGCTGGGCTGAAACTAACGTATTACTTTCATTATTGATTAATTTAGGGATTAAATCATACTGTGTTATATTGATTTTCTTCTTCCAAGAAACCTTTTCATTTTCATTAATTCCCAATCTCTTCAGGCTTGAAACTTTGATGATGTTATTCATCACAGTGAATATCTTTTCCTAATAAACTTTAATATCGAGCAGGGTGGAAATGCCGTTGAGGGAAAAAATCTGGCTTTATTTCAAGTGCTTTTTATGAATTACTTCAAGCCATTTATGAATAAAGGGTAAAAAGAGACATTGCAGATACAGATGCAGATTAACGTTTCTGAATAAGCTTATAAGTGGTAAAAAGTATGTTTATGTTATTCAAACATTCATAGCTTTGAAAGCTCTCTGTAAAAGAAACATTTTATTAATGCAAAAACAGTTTCACAAGCTCCATGTTGCTTGCGTTTTGATTCTCATACAGCATCGTTCATGAATGTGATTTATTAAATGTTCAGTTTCATCTCTTAAACATCAGATGTTAGGATGCCCTTGACAGCAGCAATCAGGTCAAACTGAAGTCCCTGTAAGTTCATTTTTATACTGCACTGGTGTCATGAATATACATTACTGTATGCCTGAAAGGGAATCAAATATCTGTCGTTTATTTTCAAAAGTGGATGTCAGAGATGTCAAGCAGCATAAAAGGGATTAATTGTAGTTGACCGGTAATGTTTTAAACCTCTGACATAGTCCTTTAAAGGCCGATTGCTTGTGGTTAACTGCACAACATGACTTTTTAATGACGGGTCTGCGCGCCGGGTTAAACGAGGTTTAAATGTCAATCTGCAACTGAAAGCAGACTGTAAAATGTTGAATTATTAACGATTAGTGTGGAAATAAATGTAGTATGAAAGGAAACACTCACAAATACTCTTCGAAAACCTGAAGCTGCCGAAGCGTGACTAAGAATTCTCGAACACACACACATACACAACCTTAACTCTCAGTCTCTCATCTAAACACAAACACTCACAGACTAAACGCACCTCAGAAGCATGTGAGCAGTTCTTAATGTGCTCTGGATTACACGCTTGTGTGACTCTATGGGCTCAGTGAACACACTGCACGCTTGACGTACTGCTGTGTGTGTGTGTGTGTGTGTGTGTGTGTGTGTGTGTCAGTGGACGCTAACGGGCCACAGGCATGGAGACTACAGTAGGTAAATGTGCCAGTGAGAGTGTGTGCAGGTGAAAATATAATTACTTAATATATATGTATTTTAATGTTTAATTATGTAGGATTAGCGGACTCAGGGTACTGCTGCCCCTTCAGTTTAAGTTAAACACATTCACAATGGCAAAATGCCAGAATAAAAACTAATCTGGAGTTTCTAATAATCCTATAACGGCTAGATAAAGTAATGAAATATAATCTCTCTTTTATATTAAAGAAAGCGTATTAAAGATGATCACTTCTGGTTATGCCTTATACTTGACTAAAACTGATGATGTATTAATGTCCGATGCTTCTATGTTTCATCAAAACAGCAGTTTCAAACAAAAACGAAATGAGACTGATAAACTCCATCGCGCCGAACATTAGCCGCCTTTAGCTTAGCGGTGGTTGTGCAGCCATCCGTGATACTTCTGGCGATTGCATTAACGCTTTCAAATCATAAAGATGTGTTAATATGTAGAGAAGTTGGGAAAATCCAATAGAAATATCCCTTTGCTATTATAACTACTCGGCCTACAAAAGATGTCCTCGCTGCACCACTCCATACACCATCATACACTCACTCAGTTACATCACAATTATATCATTAATGTTAATCTAAAAACAATAATCATGATTGCATCGAGGCTTTACAAGGCTTTATCTTATACAATGCTATAAAATAGAAACCAACATCAAGCTCCCAGACATACTCTTACTCAGGGCCGTCCCTGGCCAACATGAGGCCCCACGCAAAGTTATATGATGAGGCCCTCTGTTTCGCGAGCGTCGACGGGGGGGGGGGGAGGAGTGGAGCCTCGCAGTGGCGAAACCGAAACCACACTAATTGCGCCGCATTTTCGGCTCAGATGAGGCACCCTCCGCAAGGTGAGGCCCCACGCAGTCTGCATGATCGGCCTGTAGGGAGGGACGGCCCTGCTCTTACTGTACGTCCCATAATAAACTCCAGAGATGGTTTGACCCTTTTTAATAGACCCCTCTCCTCTGACTGTGTTAGACGTAGAGTGGGGGATCTAACCGTAAGCCTGTGTCACTACAGAATATAAGATCCTCGCTGTGGTATTCACCGTTGGGACTTTACATGACATTACACTTACTCTGCTGAAGTGAGGATGTACCATCTCTATATGACACATCAAGTAACCTGGGGCCATTCCCCTGATCATATCGTACATCTGCTATTCTCTGATGACGTTAAGCCTACCTTAAACTCCAGGGTTCCTTATCATGCTATTTTGCACGACATGCCTTCTGCTTTTCAGCTTTTGCACAAAGCAGGGCGAGCATGCATTTTTAAAGTGACACTGGATTGAAGCTTCGATATTATGTATTATGCTGTCAGTTGCCTACTTTTATTATTATCTTTTAAAATCATAGTTCATCTATGATAAAGATAAGATTACAAGCCCAGGTAAAATCGAATCTTTTTATTTAATAGTGAGGTATTACACTTATGGCTTTTATTAGATTTCCTCCCAATTTACAGGAGCATTTTATTGCAGCAGTTAACAGATTATCACTTTGCTCAAGGGCACAGTGACAGTTGTTATTAGGTTTTGGTATGGAGGGAAATTGAGGTCAGCAGCAACCCTTCAGCTGGCCGAGGTGCAGAGTGTCAGGCTCAAGGACACTTGTCAAGGCCAGATGGTTATTAAATGGTCACCTAACTTCTTATTAAGCCCCCTTGCTACCCTTTCTGCTCCTGGACGGACAGTGCAGGGTTCAGACTTACTTCATGCATCGGGAGTAGAGCTGGCATCGAGCCAGCGGCACTCTGACCAAACAGGAGGGGAAGGCGAGCAGCAGAGTGTGGCTTGGCCGGTCCAGAGTGAGAGAGAGAAGCTGCCTGTTCTGCACAGAGTCCTCAGCACACCTGCAAGACAAGGGACGTTTATTATACATGGCACATTTCAACACTAATTCAAATGGCTTTCCACAAAACATTTAAAGCATTAAAGGTCCCCTATTATACGGTTTTTCATCAATATATTATAGGTCTCAGATATATACAAAACTCTGAAGTGTTTGGCTCGAAATACCCAACAGATCATTGCAGCATCCCATAATCCCCTCTGTTTCAGCCCTGTTTCAAAAGTGCTGATTCTCTGTCTGTTACTTTAGATGAAAATAAGGAGCCCCTCCCCACGCCCCTCTGAGAGATATTTGGTTAAAAAGAACACAATGGTGCTCTAGGAGGAGATTCAGGTGATAAGGTGGGGGGGGGGTTACCTTGGTTGGTGATTGGCTAATGGTTACACAAGCCAAAAAATCGTTATGACATCATAAAGTGGCCAAAATCTGATCAGCTCATTTTCAGACAGGTTTTTATATAAATGGATCAGGACAAAAAGAGAGAGAATCTTTTTTCATGTTGATGTAGAAAAGACATGAAAAGCTGGATTTTGCACAATAGGTGACCTTTCAAAGCATTACGCATTTGTCAACAGCTTTAAAATCAAAATCTGCTCAAAGATTGTTGGTCAACCCTGTCAGAGACTTTATGACTTAGCATACCATAATAACCTAGTGAGGCAACAACATCATCTCGGACCCAAACCATGTTCTGAACAGCGAATATGAACTATGACATTTCAGACTTGATCTGACCATTAAAGTATTATTGTATCATATTTGTATTAAGGTACAGTGCAACAGAAGCACACTATGAAATGACATTGAAGTACATTTAAAAAGGATGCAGTATATTTCTATTTAAATTAAAGTGTCCCAGTGGCTTAAAGGACTTTTATTGCACCTTCTTCCTTCAACTTCTTATATTTGTATACATATTTATTTAGTTTACTCTACAATAGTGCAACTGTCACAACACCTAGTTTCCCCCTGGATGAATATTCTGATTCTGAACATTAAAAAGCCAAGAGGATACAAATTGAAATAAGCTATAATAGAATAAGACAGGTTATAAAACACAAGAACAAAAGTTACAGTGCAGTGTAAGGTATGAATAGTTACTTAATGAAATGCAGAGGTAGAAAGTATAGTCTTCAGCCTGGATTTAAATGAGTTGCAGCAGTCGTGCGGTTTTCTTGGAGTTTGTTCCAGAAATATGGAGCGTAATAACTGAACGCTGCTTTTCCATGTTTCGTTTTTACTTACAGACAGTAAACCCGTCCCAGATGACCTGAGTGATCTAGATGGATCATAATCTAGCAGAAGATCAGAAATGTGTTATGGCCTTTAACCATTCGGTGCTTTATAAACGGTAGTATTTACTTTGAAAGAGAGCAAGCCAGTGTAAAGACCTCTAAACTGGAGTGATTTGATCTTTGTGTTAGTTAGGAGAACACACACAATACTCATTAGGTCATTTCAATTACACGACCGAGACTTCATTAGACCTCTGACCTCACTCAGCATAACCGCAGTAAAAAAAAACTCCTTGTGACTCAATGTGAAACAACCAAACGTAAACAGCTCTATAAATAAAAGCTATAATAAAACTGGAAGAGATAAATAATGTAGCCAGATGTTACGGTGTCAATCCAGAGGTTTAGGGGTTTGAGAGGTTGGCCGGCCATCCAAAAACAGCCGCCAGCAGCTGAATCGCTCCTAATTGGCACTTAGAGCTACGATAGAAAGCACCGACCTGCCTCCATACAGCAGATTTATACATTTTTATACACAAGTGCGCTCCTGCACCGGTTGGTTGTATCTGGATGGTTTATGGTAATAACATTGCGGTGGACCAACAGTCATTAAGATGAATCTATCATCCTGTTTAGGCCAAGCTCTGAGTCATTCTTCAGAGCCAATATCACAAAAAAAGCAGAGAAAAGGAGGGGGACAGATGTAGGGAGAGGGAAAAAATCGAATAAATAACTGAAAAATGCAGGAGAGGGAAAGAAACACATATTAGAGACTTATGAAAAGAAAATATGGGAGACAGAACCTAGATCAGATACAGGGAGGAAATAGGAGAAGATATAGGGTCTATTAGCGCTGCATTTCTCTCATTTCCTGCTTTATTATGGCAACACAAAGAAATTATTTCTCTCTGTGTTGGCTTCCTCAAAGATGACTGTGTTAGCGGCCCTGTTCCTGTGTACCCTGGGGTTTATTAGAAGGCAAAAGGCATCTCATTGTCTGTGTTTGGAAGGGGAGGAGGTTGGTAGCCTGGCCTGGAGCATAAAAAAGAAAAAAAAAGACCCTGAAGTGGCCGTGCTCTGGCTCCTGATTAGCTGGGAGCCTGCTGTGATCGTCGGACTGTCACTGACCTCCTGGTGGACTCATCAAATTATCCATCACACAGTGACTCCAGTCCACAGCAGCTCATTCATCACACAGTCTGCTCAGGCCATCACTATTCCTCATTTTGTGAAGCAGAAGCTAATAAGCTGAGGCACAAATTGGTGAGCATACATTGGGAGTGTTTGGAGAAGAAGGTTGATTAATAAACAAAAACCGCACAAGCACTACACGTTTCCAGATAGTTGGTTTTGAGAAATAACCGTCTTTGTTCCCCTATTGCAGAATATAATGGTATATACATCACAAGCACAATTACCTCAACAGGAAGCTAGTGTTTAGCATCATGTTCTCTCTTGTTTAAATGCCTCTAATTAGCCTTGGTGAGAGATAATCACCAGGCAAATCTGCCTGCATCTGTGTGACAATCTCACCCCCGCCCTGCGGCCATCCACCATGTGGAGCGCTACCTCTCAACGGAGAACAAAAGCAAAAATGAAAGATTGAAAAGGCATTGTACCCGGTGTTCATTTAAGCAATAGCTCAGGACAGGCCGTGGTATATGGCCATTATATCACAGTTAAGGGGCGTGGTTCGGCCCGACGCGAACCTGACTTGTTGTGAAAAGTAACTACAATTCTACCCGTGATATACGCTCATTATATCACGGCTAAGAACCAATCAGATTGCTTGATTTGACTTGTCCGTTTTATAATACGTAGTGACGGGTATCCAATGAAACCCAAAAGCCTCATGTAAAATGCTAATTAAGAAAGGACACGGAGCCGACTCCAATCTTTTGTCAGGATCCAGATATTAAATGTGATTCAGCTTCAGACTACAGATAAGAGGTCATCCTCCTGACATTTTGTAATTTTTGGTCACGATTAAGGATAATGTGATTTTATCATCACTTCATTACTTTCTGATTTTACCCCTAATGCTATTATACAACATGTCTCTAGCTCATTAGGAGATGTGCAGATTTCCTGATAATGAATTGCAGCCTCGAATCCTGATTTCTCTTCTGTTTGCCCTATTTGTATTCTCTGCATGGGGGTGCATGGTCTCAGCTTCTGCACAAATGATGTGTACCTCTCAGAGAATAGGTGAGCCTTTCTGCATAATTCAGGACACGTCATGTTTCTCTTATTTTTCCCTTGCGACTTTTTTTATAGGCGTATCCCCCCCACCACGTTATGTATACATCAACCCCAGATGTCATGTAACCCCTCCCTCTCATCCGCTGCTGTATGTCTCAAGCTATTTTACATAAAGCTCTCTATCTTCACAGGCTTGTACCGTAAATATATAGTGTATCAGTTTTTGAAATACGCTTCCTTGCTGAGAGTGAGATGAGAAGATTGACACCCTCATATCTGTATAGTTAATATAAAATGAATAAATGCGTTAATAGAAACAGAAAAAATCAGCTTACCTGGCTCTGATATAAAAAAGATATATCACAGACTCTAAAAATAATTAATTAACACATCATGCAACAGCCTCACGGTGACAACAAAACCATAGGAAGTTACTGGGAAAAAGAAACTCTGAACATAACACCTGTAAAACTAAAATGTAAGGTTTTCACATCTCGGTTTTCGAACAGATTAAACAAACTAGACAGGTTATAATGTGTTAATTGGGGAGTTTTATAGGTGCTGGTACAGAGAAGAAGTTCACAATGCTTCCAGTAGGCTAAGATAATCGTCTGCTAGCTGTAACTTTGTTCATCACCTACAGACATCGACCTTCTCATCTCACTTAGAAAACAGCCAGTTACCATATTTCTTATGATTGTACCACATTTTCTGTTAAATGTCTGTCTTACTTATCAGGGTTGTATCCCTCCAGCTCCTCCAGGAAGATGTTGCTGTTGGTGACGCTGTTGTCCTGGTTGGGCATGATGAGGAACTTGAGGATGTTCCCTCTGCTCGACCCGAGGAAGAGGACGGTCCGGTTCCTGTGAGGCCCGGCTTCTGTATCCACCACGATCTTATTCAGCTGGTACCTGGAGAGATTTTAAAGCATTTCCATTCCATTTAGAGCTGCGTGACTCATTTGGGACATTTTCTTCTTTAAAAGATAAAAGCAACGGTGAAGCAACTCCCAGCGGCAAATGTATGATTTAAGTGCATTACAGCTGATTGGTTTACTGTAGGTGTAAAAGAAGCTTTTAAATCATAATATTTTTCTCTCGAGTCACTGCAAAATGAAGTGAATTCCATAGAGACGCAATCACATTTGCATAATAAACTAATTATGGCAGACGTTCAGCCATTAATAATATCAGTCAAGTAAATGGGTCTGTGTAGCAACAATAGCAGAGTGTGGCTGAACTACACACCGTCCTGTGTGAGTCAATAGACAAGAATAGAGGCCATGTTGTGGCAGCTGTTTAATATTCCTCATACATCGAGTTCCCATAATCCCCTGGTGGCTGGTGGGCAGCGGGACTTCATATGGCGGATCGTGCAGAGAGAGAGAGAGGGAGTGCATTTATGAGCTACAGCTGCTCCACTGCTACCAGGCTTCAGCACCCAAAGTGTTTAAACTCAACAGAAGGAGTCCACAGCCCCAACACACACACACCATATGTGTGTATACAACCCTGTCTCCTATACTGTGAAACATCAAGTTTAAGTGGGATCAATTAGTATTTGAATAAACAAGTTATATATATCATGTTACGTCCCGTTAAAAAATGTACATTAACAGACCATTTCCGAATGAATAACATTACTTTAATGATGAGTTGATTGAATGCAATGCTCAGTGCTGGCTGAAGTCATGAAATTAAGTTTCAAAAACACAGTCAGATGATTTCCCAGCATGCATTGTTTGTAAACTCTCCAGAAACACTTTTTTTTGTGTTTCTAATTTGTTTTGCCAAATATGAATGAATGAAAACTGAATTAACGCTATGATTATGTTGAATAGAAACAGTTTTTTATGTGTGGAGTTAGTAGCTAATGGAAATCATTTAAAGGCTGTCACGGTGGATGACTGGAATACAAAGCATCAAAGTAAGGATATGATTATGTTTTTTGTTAAAGGGGACCTATCATGCAAAATGCACTTTTGTACGTCTTTTATACATGAATATGTGTCCCCGGTGTTCCAGGGAACTCACCAAGTGTCAGAAAACACAACCCTCTCTATTTTCCTCCATACCCAAATCTCTAAAAAAGGGGCTGCAACGGATCTGATAAAAACTGATCCAGATTTGAACACTGTCCTGACGTCAGGACGGTGGGGCTACGGCTATTGGGCCAACTCCACCAATCAGGAGGAGACAGCCACGGCCATTGCCGTTCGAAAGCGCTGGAGACGCTGTAGTACATATGCCAGGCCTGTAGGTGGTGCTGTTCTCACAAAATCTGCCCTTGCAAAAACAGAGCTAAAAAATGTCAAATTGAGCAAAATGAGGCATGGCTAAAATGCATGATCTGTTTGGTATTTTGAAAAAAAAAAAGTATAAATATGCCTTATATAGGTATGGTCCTACACTATATTATTCAAAATATAGCATGATAGGTCCACTTTAAATGATCATAAATCATTGCTAATAAAGTCATTGTCTTTTTTAATATTCTCCAATATCTCCACCTAATCTTGATAAACCTCAAAATAACCATGAAAAACTTGTTTTATGCTTCGGTTGAACATCAGTGAAAAAGAAAAAGTTTTGCAAACAGATTGAGCATTATAAAGCTTCTCCGAAAATGTTCATTAAAAAAATTCCCTGCCTCTCTGTAACATAATAACTCAGGGACATGTTTTGTGTTACACTGCTTATCTGAGATCAGTCTCACCTGACCATGGTTCGTACAATCCAGGGTCTCTGTCCTAGAGAGGGGACGGCTTCATCCATCAGAGGATGGGTCTTGACGAAGTTGAGCATCTCGTCAGGGAAGGCGTTGGAGGAGTTAAACTTGGATCCTTGAACAGCGCAGCCACCGGGTCTGGGGACAAAACGTTACAGCAGATGTTTAGCAGACCGTCTGTTGTGATTAACTCAAGCTTCTGTAAAGATATAGTTATACAATGAAGCAGTCTAGACTGTCTGAATGTATGCCATCCATCAAACTTTTCAACAAGAGACTCATTCGATTAAATCAAATTAACCTTATGTATTTTGCAAGGCTATGTGCATGAGGTCAAAACATGCCTTTAGATTGGCACAGACGATATACTGTATATCCTTGTGAAAAGTGAATTTCCCACCTCCACATACATTTGAGTTTACTGAAATGTCTACAGGCCTGGGTTTTAACATTCAATACCACACACTCCAAAACCAAACAGCTTTCTTGAATACTGACTGTAGCTGGAAGAGAAGCAATAAGAAGAACAACTGGTATGACCTACTGTAATACCCAACATATTTTTAATGGAAAGAATATTTTTTTCCATGAGGCTTCAAGAAAACCAATTTGAAGAAACGGCTCTGTCAATGGATGCGGAGGGGGTTTAACAATTTCTTTTTTAAATGTTATGTAAAGCATTCCAAAGCCATGAAGTGTGTGCAATAGTTCGCCATTGTCAGTAGGTGTGTCTGTGGATATGCGTATGTCCAACCTGTGAATATATACATACTGTACGTTTTTGGGGTTAATATGTTATTGTCTTTTAATGTGTACTATGTAGTGTGTAGGATTTGTAATCTTTTGTGGAACTGCAGCAGGAGTCCAGAACAAATATTCGTACAGGGACAATAAAGTATATCGTATATGGAAAGTGCTTCATACATAGTTGAAAACAGTTGACTGATTGATATTGTGACAGAATGAATACAGATTGATGTACATTAGAGTATTCCTCTGATAGCAGTCTAACCACAGGTGTGTATACACGTATTACAGCTCTCCGCACCTTGGCTTGGGGATGAAGTCATCTGGAACAGGTGTCCAAATGGACTCAGATGATTTCTGCTCCTTGAATCTCCCTTCAAACACCGAAGCCAGCTGCTCCATGTCGAAGGCACACACCGCCGAACCTGGGATACTGGAGAGACAAGAGACAAAGAGGTGAGACAGAGGGGTGAGACAGAGAGGTGAGACAGAGGGGAGACAAATATATGAGACGGAGAGGTGAGACAGAGGGTGAGACAAAGAGATGAGACAGAGAGGTGAGACAGAGGGGAGACAAAGAGATGAGACAGAGAGGTGAGACAGAGGGGAGACAAAGAGATGAGACAGAGGGTGAGACAAAGAGATGAGAAAGAGAGGTGAGACAGAGGGGAGACAAAGAGATGAGACAGAGAGGTGACAAAGAGATGAGACAGAGAGGTGAGACAGAGGGGAGACAGAGAGGTGAGAGAGAGATGAGACAGAGAGGTGAGACAGAGGGGAGACAGAGAGGTGAGACAGAGGGGAGACAGAGAGGTGAGACAGAGAGGTGAGACAGAGCGGAGACAGAGAGGTGAGACAGAGAGGAGACAGAGAGGTGAGACAGAGGGGAGACAGAGAGATGAGACAGAGGGGAGACAGAGAGGTGAGACAGAGCGGAGACAGAGAGGTGAGACAGAGAGGAGACAGAGAGGTGAGACAGAGGGGAGACAGAGAGGTGAGACAGAGGGGAGACAGAGAGGTGAGACAGAGGGGAGACAGAGAGGTGAGACAGAGGGGAGACAGAGAGGTGAGACAGAGAGGGGAGACAGAGAGGAGAGACAGAGAGGTGAGACAGAGAGGAGAGACAGAGAGGTGAGACAGAGAGGTGAGACAGAGAGGAGAGACAGAGAGGTGAGACAGAGGGGAGACAGAGAGGTGAGACAGAGAGGTGAGACAGAGAGGTGAGACAGAGAGGTGAGACAGAGAGGTGAGACAGAGAGGTGAGACAGAGGGGAGACAGAGAGGCGAGACAGAGAGGTGAGACAGAGCGGAGACAGAGAGGTGAGACAGAGAGGAGACAGAGAGGTGAGACAGAGAGGGGAGACAGAGAGGTGAGACAGAGGGGAGACAGAGAGGGGAGACAGAGAGGTGAGACAGAGAGGAGAGACAGAGAGGTGAGACAGAGAGGTGAGACAGAGAGGAGAGACAGAGAGGTGAGACAGAGGTGAGACAGAGAGGTGAGACAGAGGGGAGACAGAGAGGGGAGACAGAGAGGTGAGACAGAGAGGTGAGACAGAGAGGAGACAGAGAGGTGAGACAGAGAGGTGAGACAGAGAGGTGAGACAGAGAGGTGAGACAGAGAGGGAGACAGAGGAGAGGTGAGACAGAGAGGTGAGACAGAGAGGTGAGACAGAGAGGTGAGACAGAGAGGTGAGACAGAGAGGTGAGACAGAGAGGTGAGACAGAGGGGAGACAGAGAGGGGAGACGGATAGGTGAGACATCAACTGATAACACACTTTGAAAGAACTTGAAGTCCTGTGTTAGGCTCTACTTTCTAACAGAATGAATACATGTCAGAATAAAAGGTAGATGATAATACCATCACTGACAAATAGGCTGTGAAACGTAAAAAAGCAAAGACGTTTAAAAGTAGAAAGTCTTTTGTGAGTGTGCAAAAAGGGAAAGGCTTCCAGCGAAGGTGACAAATTGGATTTGGGCTGTTCCTATTTTGACGTTGAAAATTTCAACACAAAGGAAATTGTTACTGAGACGGATAGAAAGGCTGGATAAGATAGACGTCGTCAACTCCGTGGGCGAAGAATAGACATGCGGCGGATGCAATAGCTAGATTAGACACATGAAAAGATCTTGGCTGGAATTCCTGGAATATAAAAGGAAAAAGGAAATGAGTCACTGAATATTTTCCCTTTCACAACTTGTGGCGGGGAGGGGGTTCTTTTAATCCTTACAACACATCCAAATAAAAAGAGCACATCGGAGGCTGCTCAACTGCTCGTGAACCCTGCCACAGGGAACACAACATCTGCTCCGGGAAGTGTCCATATCCTACATGCGCACACCAACAAACAGAGACAAACTCATCCAAAGACACACTATCTCCGCACTGAGATGCTACATCAATCCGGTAAAGAGAGGATAGTCAGGATAAGATAAGGAATGTGTTTTTGAAAAACATCCCATGCTTCACGCTCCGAGTCCCGCCTCTCTGCTCTGGATGTGTCCTCGCCGATGACTAATGGAGTGCGTGGTGTGAGAGCTAGTGACTAAGAGCTAATACCTTATACACGCATTGAGAAAACCTGAGAGACTGAGTCACTTTCCACCTGCTGCTACAGAAGTCCCACATATCTGTTTCTGCTATCCTCTCTCCTTCTCGTTTGATGGTCATGATTCTGAGCCGTGTTGCTTTTGAGTGGCCCCCTTGAAAGCCACTGAAGGGTTTGTTTGGTAAGGCAGCGCCCGGAGGCTGGATTTCGGGTTGCAGCGGGGAGTCGTGCCATTTTGATCAGGTCACGCCGTCTCCCTCAGTACTTATCATTCATGGGCAGGGATGTGACTCAACCCCCGGCCAGCGTGGCGGAGCTGCAGGCGGATCCGATATGCCGCCTCCCTCTGGGCCGCTGGCACCAGATGTTATGTGTGACATGTCTGCCAGCTCTGCACGTGCCAGCTTGGCTTCCTTTTCTCTATACCTTATCCACCCCCTGCAGGTCACTGAGTCTGCCCCACGTCGGGTGCTGGGTCTCGCAGAAGAGAGCCAAAAGGCCTCTGGCTGTTTTTCCCTCTGAATGTTGGCTAATTAATTACATTTCCACTGTTTAGTAGTCTCTCCTTCCTTTGTTTTGTAATCCATGTGTGTCGATTTCTTGTACACACCTTCCATTTTCCCACATTTCGACCACTTTTCTTTCTCTCTGTCCACTCGTTCTTCACTCGTTCTCCTTGACTAGGGTTGAGCGACAGGCTGTCCAGAGAAGATACATAGCTCGTCCGAGTCTGAAGTACTTCCTCACTGTTTAACAAGCTTCTCCGTCAGCTTGGAATAACACAAACAGTCCTCACAGACACGTGATGCCTCGTCAGGTTGGATAAGGAGAGACAAGTGGGAGTCAGGGGAAGTTTCAATGTCAATCCTGTAATTAGGGGTTTAACTTTGACAAATGTCGAGAATTTTAAAACTTTGGGATGTATAACGTAAACATAGACCATGTGAAATATGGTATCTATAATCACATGGGAGCTTTAGCACTGCGGTTAAAAGGTTCAAACATTCAAAGGTCAGAAATCCTACACACTTAGTCTGACTCTCTGTATGTATACTGTACAAACTTCTCTCAGAAGGTCTTTGTATATTTTCCCGGATCATTTTCATTATATTTTTTTTAAGGCTTTGTTTTTGTTAACTTCATGGATAGGCTTGACTTAAATTTCCACTATCTTAGAATGGATCCAGAGGGCTTTCAGATAAACTTTGCGAACGTTTCACAGCAAAATCAGATAAACATGATGGAATAAACTTTGCAAAGGGCATGGCCAGCACTAAACTTACTGACCTCTGGTCCAATCTACCCAAAATGTGTTTTGTTAGTTCGATGAAACAAGGCTCCACTGGTTTTTTTTAGGGACAAAGTTTGACATTTTCGGTACTTATTTGTTTTCTTGCCTGGAATTAGACGCTATAAAAGTCTGGTGAACTCACATTTGTTACAGAGCAGACATACAATCCTTCAAACGCCAGCTATTTAGTATGCAAATCTATCACTTCTACACTTATTATCTTTCAGCACACATACTATCGGGCACTGGGATATAAATGTATTTTTCATCATTTTTAATAGTCCTTCAGTGCAGACCAATTTACAGTTATGAAAGAATAGAGCTCAGATATCAAACCTACATCACAAAAAGTTTCATATTAAACCAGTGAAGCTGTTAAACCTTTAAACTTAGGCGCTAATAATAAGACTTTTCTTTACCTCGCCTGAACTTCTAGCCTTAACTTCTTTTAAAAAATATTATTCATCCTTCCCTTTATTCTCCCGCGCACCTCTGAACTGATCTACTTTCTTTTTTGTATTCTAGCAACCTTAATTTATCATACTTTTCTTTGACCTTTTCACATCAGCTCTCTGTAGATTTTCCTTTTTTTCCACATCCAGAGTATCCATGCTCATGTGGACCCCTGTAACAACTCTGTTTGTCCTCGTGACAAGGGCCCTGCTGTCCAATACACATGGGTTCCCTCCCCAAGTCTATTTCTTAAGCCCTAGCTAGATAACTCACTGTGTATCCCCTTGTTTTCTCTACTTGTCTCGGCCCCCGGGGGGACTAGCGCGCACATCTGTGCATCCTCCTGTGTCACACTTCTTCTGGAACAGTAAACCTGTTCTCCTGTGCTCCTTGTCCTCCTTGTTTCCCCTCCTCTGCTGTGTATACCCAGAGGGTCTTACAGCTGTCTGACCCCAGTACATGGGACATGGGATTCCTTACGACTGAAAACAAACATGGCCTCCTACGTTCAGGATGCACCAGATTTATTTGACTTTGCATGAGATGTTTTTTCTTGCATTCCTGCCTGGCTCCATTAAGCCTAATGAGACCACGTTAGTCCGCTCCAGCAGCAATAGACATTTTCAGCTGCCAAAACAAAAGCAAATAAATAATTGTTTGTTTTTTGTACTTGTCCAAGGATGCGTGGTGACGCTAAGACTTCCATGAAACATCGTGCTGCTGTTGTTCACAAGGGCAGTATTAAAACATTTTTGAGCTGCTGAATAAAGCTACTTTTCTATCCTTCTCCCCAAAGGTCTCATATTTTTATCCTCCCTCTTTTGAGTTAGCTGCTGCTCCCTGTGCCTCCTTGACCTCTTGAGCTTCAGGAGTGCGAGTGCAAGAGGTGCTCAGTAGGAAATCCGAGATCTTCTTTCATCCAGTTTTGAAAGGAAGGGCCTGGGGCTTCAGAGGTGGATGCACGCAGGAACTGACAACTGGAGGTGATTTTTACTCTGAAAGTAAAGACTGAATGATCCCACACACGCAACTTCATAACATTTCAGGAGCTGGTTTATGCCTGCAAAATGATTCCTTGAGTATGCGAGCGCAGGAGGAGATGAGTAACTTCTCAGGGCCCAGGGGAGACTCTAGGAGGGCCAGTTAAACCTCAACTTCATCCCATTATTCCCATTTCTACAGTCCCATATATGCTGCCCGGGGCCAACTGGCAGGAGAGAATAGCTTTTCCGTTACTCCCAGGTCCTGCCTCATGCTGTTTTCCCTGCACGCTGCCAGCCAAAGCAATTTGTCCGGCAAGCACTTCGCCAGTGTGGCACAGTGGGCCACTGGGAGTTTTGCAGCTCACCTCACACATTCTCTCCGTCTCTTAATGCGTATTTTCCCTCCATCACACGTCTCCTTATCCATTCATCAAACCCCCCCCCTCCTTTCGTTTTCTCTTGGCTGGCAGTTATTTAAAAATCGGACCCAGTGGCAGTTTACCCAAGCAGGGGTGTGTGTGTTCAGCTGGTTCTCCTCGCTGGCATGCTGCAAATGCTGTTATCTGGGAACCATTGTGAGCATGTTTGTGCATGTGTGTGTGTTTATGTGTGTGAAGCATCCATCTGTCTCTGCAGGCGGTGGCTTTCTCTCGCAGCGTAGTCCTTCCAAACACACAGATAAGATGCAGCTGATGAAACAGTTTTAGATCTCAGAGAGAGCAGGGGATGCACGTGTTGTCCATTATTGACTTCCTCGTCCTTGAGTTTCTCATCCATCTCTCCCCCTCTTGTTCGCCATCTCCCTCCTAATTCTCCTCTCTGTCTTCTCTCCTTTCTGATTTATATCCACTCGTTGCTCTCCTTTTCTCTCCTGTCCTTTACCCACTGCTTTGAGACACTGCCCTGCAAGTAGAATCTCGATATATACAAAAGAAATAAGAGATGGTATAATACTGGGATCTTTGACAATGATGACTATGCTGCTGGCTGTATTTAAGTGGGACACTGTATTGATTCCAGACTAGTCTCGAAGTGTTTCTATATGTTTTCTGCAATGTCCTGCAGTGCCAGACACAGTAAGTGGTATAAGGGCTATTAAGTTTCCAGAAGTGAGATATCACAGAAAAAATGTCCTGAATACTTTCTATAATTTGAGCCTCTTATACTGCAATATGCTGTAGCAATACATACTTGTAAAATGGAGAAAATATGTTTATCCCATAGTAGACTATATATACTGTATATCCCTGGGCAACTTGGAGGATTTGACCACAAACATTTACAGGCACAAACAACACTATAACCAGGGGTGCACATAACTGGTACGCAGGTACGCATGCGCAGCAACAATCTGAAATGCGTACCGTCACTTGTGTCACAAAGCGCATTTGCGTACCGACGTACTTGTGAAGTTTTTCCAGAAGGCGGTTAGATCACCGGACGACAGAGTCGGTCTCCGTGTGCGTGTGCACAGACAGGGTGCTGTTAACGTCGGGTCTGTACAGCAGCCCTGCGCTAAAACAGCTGATCACAACGTTCACGCGCTCCGCGGTCACGGAGCTCTGTACTCCGTTGACAATCGCTAGCACCCCCCCCCCCCCCCCCCCCCCCCAAACCCACCCCCCAACCACCACCCAACCACCCCCCCCCCCCCCCCCCCCCCCCCCCCCCCCCCCCCCCCCCGCGTTGACAATTGCCAGAAGTTGGAGTACCAAACACTGACTCCAGGTACTCATCTGGGAGAAAGTTGTGTGCACCCCTGACTATAACACACTACAGGAGAGTGAAAACGCCAGAACCCAGAGGGCTTATTTGAGTATTAGGATTACATTATTATTGTTCATAATTCAAAACTCAACACTTGAACATTATTGCCTCTCTATTCAGAAACGAATTTCCTGCATAATCCAGGATTTGAAGTATACGGTACGTGTGTCTCACATAAATATTTGGCTCACACTCCAGACTCTCAGACTCAGTTTGCTGTGTGTGTTGTCTTTACCCACAGTCTTCAATAATCCCCAATTTACTGTGCAGCATCCTTCCTCATCCTCTCTTCGCCTCTCACCTTTTTTCAATTTAATCTTGTCTTTCAACAAATCACCCTTTTGTCCTCAATGAAAGCTTTCCATGTGTCTTAAATTACTCTGTACCCCACGCTCCTGACCTCTGCTCCTCTTTCATTTCTCCTGAGATCTGCCTGGCCTGTAGGAAGCCTTGCTCTTTCCGACTTCATAGCAGAGGGAACAGACTATGGTGGTCTGCTAGGTTTTCAAGGTGAGCAGTGTGAGTTCTCCTTCACATTGGGTGTCTATTCCCCTCTCCATGGGAAGTGTGTCAAGATGTGTTGTTACGTCTGTGTATTTCTTAACAACACTCTCAGGGTGATTGAATCCCCTTTTCTCTTTTTCCAGAGAGGACACAGATATAAAATCCCTTCCACTTCAGTCTGGCCACACTAGCACTCCGAGCACGTACTTTATCCACACATGCAGTCAAATAAAGCTTCTCATTTGAAGGCAGACAGGTAAGGTATTGATCTGGATCAAAGATTCCTATCCAGGGTCTGCACTCCTGTCAGAGAACGTGGAAAGGTTGTGGAGCAGTAATGAACTGATAAACAATTCAAATAGCTATCAAAAAGTAATGGTTCAAATACTGTAGTTAGCTTTGAGTAATTAAAAACAAGAACAACGGAGAAGAAGGGCTACATTATAAACTGTATATCCATTTTAAATAGTTAAAATAAAGTGTTAGAAAAAGTAATTGAAAAACACTTCAATTGGTTGAATGGAGAAAAAGTAATGGATGAATGGTTAAAATAGATAGTAAGTTGAAATAGTTATTATTATTATAGCTATTTGTGTGTGAATGTATTTAATTACCAGGGTCAATGCACAATAATCTCTTTAGATAACATAATGAGATTATATTAATCTGTAGTCCCTGGGAAGGATATAGTTAGAAAAAATTATAAAATAACCACATTAAAACAGTAAGCCTTAATAAGGAAAAGTTAAAATAAATACCGTAAAAGAAAAACTGTTAAATATAGTCTAACGCAAACGTTAGAATAACCTTTGAAATACTTAGCTTAAAATAATAGACAACGACTTGAACGAGTTATCTAAAAGTATGTAAAAGATAAAAAGTATATACAGCAGGGTTGATGGTAAAAAGAGGGAATTTCTGAGAGGGAAGTGAAATTATTTCTGTGTTTCTGGTTAACAGGAGTTTATTTGCATGTTGTACCTGTTTGACGGTGTGGAGAACACCCCCAGGATGATGTCTCTGCCGTGCATCCTGATGATGGGGCTGGTGGAGTGGAGCAGGTTGAAGTAGAAGTGGGAATCCCCGGGGACGGAGCAGTTCAGACGGGCCTTCAGGAACGACGTCCACTGCTTCTCCAGGACGCGCTGAGACCCTCCCAGATCACGCTTGCACACCCGCGCCACGCGTGACACCATCACCTGTGAGTCATGAAGCACAGAGGAGAAAATGACATTCAGACAGGTGTATCTGAATAAGCACAGCTCATATATAAATCAAATGATACGCTGGGGGTGTAAGCTTTGTGTTTCATCTTCAAAAAGACACATTTAAAAAGGTGTTTGGAACTTCAGAGTGATCTCTCCAGAGTCATTTGCATGCTATTTGCAACGCAGAAACCCTGTTTTGACACATCATTGTTTTATAATGCTAAAATCTAATATCAATTATTCATAAAAATGTCAGCGCATTTCAAAAATTGCTTCTTTGAACATCCTCACCCACACAACAGTGACGCTGTTTGAGTATCCATTTACTCTGATCTCTGTACACATGTCAAACACCTCGTGCAGGCACTTATCCCCAAATAAGAATTGTTAATTTTTAAGAGAAGATCCTGACGCTGATCTATATCATTTGTTATAATGATGCATCTCCAGCTCTGGTAAGGTTGGGCCATGTACAAAGCAATTCAATCGCTTTTTCTTAGGTCAATACAGACATTAAATGTTTACTCAGACCACTATTTGTTGGATTAGATATGCAGACAAACAAATACAAGGATGAAAGGTCAGTGCAGGTGTGGGAAAATAGTTGATATTGACATTCAAATAATAGCAGCGGAGCGATATTAGAGCGGCACTTTATTTGATATGGCTTTGCATTTTAACCACACATTCCTCCACAGTCCTTTTAAAAGATGCTCTGTATGGACCGTGTGAATACTGAGAGTTCAGAAAGACAGGAGGATATTTTTCTCATCAGAGTGACTGCTATACCTTCTCCAGGTAGTTGAACTCCATGGCTATCTCTCTGAAGAAGAAGTAGATGTGAGGTCCCCACTCCACGGCACTCACAAAATACGGCTCTATATTGTGAGAGAGGGAAAACGAGAGGAAGGGAAATATCATGAAATATGGATGGTGCAAAGAGAAAAGCAAACAGCAAACAGTGTCTCCATTTGCAAATGCATCCTTCACTCCCACGAGGTACCATTAGGGCAGTGAGAAAGAGGCACAGGCCATGCTTAATTTCATTACATGGTGAAAGGGGATTTCACACCAAACAATAAGCGCATTATGACTCCCTGATGCTTCTCAGAACTCGGTTTCACGCTATGCATTTTGGTGCTTTTACACCCGGGACTAGCTATAACCTGTGTGTCCGATTCGTTTTGACTGTCTCATGGTTATAGTTGGGTTTGACTGTGATGTGGATTTTCTGTCGAGCAGCGGTACGTCTGACAGCTTCCCTGTCCGATGACCTGAACGTGGAGTTGTCAGGCTGCTGACTCAGTGCTTCTTCTACTGACACCAGTATCGATCCTGCATGCAGCTAAGTGATGTGGACACACACTCAAAACTCCAGCCTCTGGTGCACACACACACACACATCTGCAGGTACCTCTGAACCACTTGGAGTCGTGCTTGACGGTGCGCAGCGCGAGACTGTCCCCAAGGCTCCGGTAGATCACCGCATCGATGGCCAGGAAGTCTGTCACTGTGGCTGTAAACAGATTTCCCTCTGACATACAAACACACACACACACACACACACACACACACACACACACACACACACACACACACACACACACACACACACACACACACACACACACACACACACACACACACACACACACACACACACACACACACACACACACACACACACACACACACACACACACACACACACACACACACACACACACACACACACACACACACACACACACACACACACACACACACACACACACACACATACCAGTTAGTTGGACAGCCTGCCAAAGAAACAGTATGACTACAAACAATAAAGCCTGAGATATCATCAGCGTTTTAATAAAGTCCTGCATCACAAACATGCCCTGTCAATAATATAATTGCAGTGCCATAATTGCAGCAGCACTCCTACGCATATAAAAATAATCTTTTCTTTTTTTTATGTCTAGTTAGTATCAGATGATGACGTTAAAGCTGAACAGTTGTGGCTCACTACAGTTTTAGCTGCCAAACACGGTTGATTTTATTAAAGTGGAGTGTTTTCAATCAGATGAAGTAAACAAAGCAGATGAATAAAACTGCAAAATCACAATTGCTCCCTTCTGTTGAGCCTGCAGCATGAAGCACATTCAATGTGATTACTTAGTTTGGTGATACGTATTCAGGTGGAAATTAAAGGATGAAACTAAAAAGGTGCGTCTTACCTGCAAACCGAGCTACGTTCGCGTGCTTTGGGTCATAGGGGCATCTCGCCATACCACTGACTGTGTCTCCTACCATCTCCAGAGTGTCTCCCTGTCACACACACACACACACACACAGACAGAGGCACACATTAATAAGCAAACTCCAAACAATTTGAATGCATCTACAGCAGCATTATGAAAACAAGCCACAAAGAGAATGACAATTAGGGAGTGTTACGGTAAGTGCAAACTAATAACTCACTGGTGCCAATTAGGCAGAGCCGCAACAACAAGAGAGTCACATTCTCATGCATAAATAACACACACACACACACACACACACAAGTACATGGATCCACACACACACATAATATCATGATGCAAAATCTCTCTTCTGCATCTCTCTCTCTCTCTATTACACACACACACACACACACACACACACACACACACACACACACACACACACACACACACACACACACACACACACACACACACACACACACACACACACACACACACACACACACACACACACACCACACACACACACACACACACACACACACACACACACACACACACACACACACACACACACACACACACACACACACACACACACACACACACACACACACACACACACACACACACAGTAGCCAAGAGCAGCGAATTTCAGCAGCACAGTCTAATTCTCATTCACGGCTGAAAAGGAAATTATTTATGTGTCATTTCATTAAAAACATCTATAAATAACACAGCAGCTAGCGGTGCTAACTGGTCTCCAGAGACACGGCAGCCTATCATGCAGAGACAGGTGTGTTATTCACCGTTGTAGAATGTCATTAGTGGCTGACAGATAACAGGCCAGGTACGTCTCAGTGTTTCAGTATGTTTGAAATGTGAGAGACTGAAAATAACACTATCTGAAAAAGCCTTTCATATTAAAAGGAATTTTTTTTAAAACCCCCCCTCCCCCCCCCCAAATTCTCACTTTCCCTTTTTTTCCAACTCAACAGCCTTCGTTGCTCATATAATAGTTCTGCAGAATGATGTGAAATAAGTCGACGATTAATATTAATGTCTGGTTTTTCTTCCAAAAGTTTGAAATGGTTGCTGTAATTGAGCACAGCGGGCTGTAGGGTCAAGGACTGGACATGAAGCTCTGTCCAAAAATATGTTTTCAGCCAACCCATAATCATCCGTTATGTAAGGCTTATTTATATGAATGTATAGAAGTCTAGGTTTTTCCTCAGAGAAAAACAGTTGTTACTAATAACTTTTGAAACAGGTTTAGGCTGACTGGAGAAGTTAGATGTTCACTACTGAATAGTATAGTAATATATCCTTAATAGCCATCAGGAGATATATATGGTGAGCCCGGGTTGGACTTAAAAAATGTAATCTGTTACAATGACTAGTTACCTGTTAAACATGCAATCAGTAACCTTATCTAACCATCACTATATACAAGTAATGCATCCTGATTACTTCCTGTTACTTTTGGTTTACAATACCAATACAAGTGCACATGTAATCCAAGCCTGATAGGGAGTGAAATACCGAGTTATACTAGATTTGAACTGGTCAAAGATAAGCACAGTTTATAATATACTTGTGTAGGTATAAAGAGCCTGTATTAAATATTGCCTTTTCTTAAAAGATACATTGTAAATGGTGGAAATGGAGTGATTTAATTTGACATTTCTTTATTTAACTTGGACAGAGTTGAGGGAATATTCAGAGGACACTGTGGCTAATGGATTCAGGTCAGTCGACTCCTACAGTCAATGCTTGAACCCTGGAGTCTCTAAACTTCTGCCTCCAGCTGGGAAATAGCTCTGATTTCTTAACCACCAGCAAAAGAAATCAAAGCGGGCCAACACATCATGTATCCACCCTCCTCCTCCCGCTCCACTCTTGTGTTCTTCTTGATTATCCGTCTCTGACTCTCATAACAAGCCTGGCAGACCTCAAAGTTTAAACACAGAGAAATAACTGTTGTATCTCAGGAAAAACATGGCGCTGCCTGGAACGGCCAGACAGGGATAAGTAAGTCCTGAGGAGGAAGACAACAAAATGCTGAACGATCACCTTTGATCAAGCTGTACATTTTCACCTGAACAGACTCACTGATTGAGTTTGGGAAGCGAGGCCTCTGTTTAGGAAGAACAGACGTAAAAGCAATTATTGTGAAGTTTTCTTGCAGTTAACTCACAGTGTAGTTGGCACAGAGGGGGTTGAAGGCGTTGGTCCCGCACACAAACAGTCCCCCCGGTCTGCGGAGCAGCACCTTCATGAAGTTACGGCATTCATCCTGCAGAAACAAAACAGACACAAAGAGAGGGAGAGCTTAATATGCAGGAGGGGTAAAAGTGAAGGGAAGAAAGGCAAAATGATGGAGAGAATAGAGGAAAAATTGAGTTTATTTTTAAGAGACTGATTATCCAAAACCGCTCTGTGAAGTGAAGCTTTTCAGATGCCTGATGTGAAGAATTATCACACCATTAACGCTGTCAATCACATTGATATAGTCTGAGTATAGCCTGCAGAGACTTTAACTGTCTACCCCTCTTCACACATGCAAACATACACACACAAACACACACACACACACACAGAGCCGCTGTTGATTGACAGGCGGTAATCCAAAACCATCCTCGGGATTTTAAAACAAGAAACAGATTTAAAGCTAATTTTCACACCGTGAGGCGTCAAACTACACGAAGCCCGCCTAATGACTAAATAAACCCGAGTCACAGTTTAATTCTTCCGTGCCTTTTCTTTGAAATGAGAAGTCGTGTAAGCACCACAGGACTTAATGGCTGCTTTAGCCCAACAGTGCTGAAAAGTAATAAATGTTGGTGTAGTGGAACTGAGAAAAATGACTTTCAAGTTAATCTGCTGTCTCGACAAAAGGACCGAATAGTGAGTCGGTGTGTTAGCAGGAATAATTAAACAGATGTAACCTCTGATATACACTGATGTGAGGATCAAACAATACTGCAAATACAACACCTCTTATTTTATCATTTCAACCGTGAAGCCATTACTTTTATCCATCCATTTACACTGTGTATACTGTATATTAGCCTAACTTAAAAAAAAACTGTTATTACATGACTTTTGACTAATTACTTTACTATTTTAAGTGCACATGTCTTTCTTTTTAATTAAGTTAAGTTGTACATATCTTCATTTAAAAAAAAAAGAAATTATATAATATTATATTGTTATGTTTCTTGTTTCGTATTTTAATCACATTTTCTCTTAATATGTTCATTTATTATACTAGAGCTAATTCATTTTAAGGAAAAAACATACTTAATAATAAACCAAATTCTGATTCTGATAGCTAACGCACTCTCAATTACAACATGTTAGCGTTTACATATACTAAAATAGCACTAATAAAGAGAAGAGACATTGTGAAAATATGTATTATTTGTATATAAAAACTTTGACATGAGCTGTCAGCCGTCTAATTAAAGAGTTATTTCCTCTCAGGTTGTTTGATTGGTTGGATTGTAGAGCATAAAGGGTTGTATTTCACAAGAAAAACAGGTAAAATAGGATAGAAAAGTTATCGTATGTACAGTTAAGTTAAGGACAACGTTCTTTGTTCCTGCTTTCCCCATCTTGTGACCCCCTCAGATTTATTTTAGGACAGCTTGGGAGGTCCTGATTCCGGGTCGGGAAGCTCTGTCTCAGGGGCTTTGGGTACAAAAACTAACATGAGGGTGAAAAAACAAAGAATCCATCAACAGCGAATCTGTGCCGGAATTTACATGACCTTTGACTTTATAAAGACAAAAAGTGCCGACAGCTGATTGCCTTCGCAGGGTGGAATCTGCTGCCTGTGTGTGTGTGTGTGTGTGTGTGTGTGTGTGTGTGTGTGTGTGTGTGTGTGTGTGTGTGTCTGTGTGTGTGTCTGTGTAGCGTGAGTGGTGATGTAGAGTACTGTAGATCACTGGTGGACAGCAGCCAGCAACCCCCTCCCCAAACTACTAGTGTCCCAGTCAGGATGGCACCAGCTTTACACACTCACACACACACCAGATGGGATCCACTTCAAGACCTCCACCCGCACTGATCTCATCGGAAAGAGAAGTTGAGCCGCAGCAGAAGCGGTGGTGGTGATAGCGGGAATGTGAAATGACAGCCCGTACGTGAATGTGTGTGTGTGTGTGTGTGTTTGTGGGGAAGAGATCAGAGGGAAAGCACTGATATGAGAGCCGAGTGAGTGTTATTCCAGATGCTCCACCCAACACCCTCCTACCTCTACACCTTCCCACTTCACTCCCTGCTGGGTTCTCGTTTTCCAACAGTACAAAAACAGGAAAGGAGGAAGTGTTCCATGTGTGAGTGTGTGTGTGTGTGTGTGTGTGTGTGTGTGTGAGTTGGGGTGCAGAGTCAAGTGTGAGGTGTACATTTGTAATGGCGCAGCACTGTGTGACAAATTGCGGCGTGACAGTACATGTGTGTCACTCCCACACGTTCAGCATGTGTTCGTGTGTGCCTGGTGCATATCTGTGTGAGCGAGTGTGTGTGTGTGTGTGTGTGTGTGTGTGTGTGTGTGTGTGTGTGTGTGTGTGTGTGTGTGTGTGTGTGTGTGTGTGTGTGTGTGTGTGTGTGTGTGTGTGTGTGTGTGTGTGTGTGTGTGTGTGTGTGTGTGTGTGTGTGTGTGTGTGTCTCACAGCACAGATGCAGGCTCAAGTGTGAGAATGATTTGCATGCTGTTTGTCGGGGGGGGGTTGCAGTCTGTCGGGCTGGTCAGAGCTGTAATCACAAAGCGCGATGAAGCACTCTTAATAACAACCCAGAGAAACTGCCAGGCTCTCAGAGAGGGGAGGACACACTCAGAAGAGCCAAGTCGCTGCTCAATGTGCATTTGGCAGCGCTTACACACTGAAAATGACACATTTCATGACTACAGAATACAAAAACAGGGGTTATATCCTTCATAACAGTTCAACTACTGAGCTTGGGTTGCCATTTGCACTTCAACACCAACACAATCCGTCCCCTGCTGCATACGTGCTTTTCATTCAACCATATTCATCCATTCCAGGAAGCAATTTGGCACTTCCAAGTATAGGCCTTTCTTTATTCAGAACGCAATTCAGTGCGTCGAATTTTACTATGGTTTCCACATAAAAATAAATAAACCAATTACAAAGGATCAAGTACTGAATCACTGAATTAGGTGATTAGATATAAATCTAAACGTTGTACGTCCTGGTGACTCCTTCTTAGCCCCTCTGCCTCCTACACTCCCTCGCTCCCTGGGAAGAATCCAGACAAAACGCCACCTGTGCTGGCTGGCAAGCACTCCCAAGACCCAGACGACTGCAGCCCTCCTCCTCCCCCTCCCCCTCCTCCTCCTCCTCCTCCTCCTCTTACTGACAGCGGCAGAGCTGCCTGGGCTCTGAAAAATTAATCTGCAGCTCAGATGAATTACACAGGAGAACGCGTCTGAGTGCAAATATGGACATAGTTGTGAAAGGAGGGGAGATTTAAAGAAGGAGTGTGAAAAGATAGCAGGAGCTGGTACACAATTGTGTGTGTGCAAGTTTACATATGTATATCCGCATTTAAATAAACTAAGCCTACTACGCAGCAGCTTTTTAATCCGTCTCTTGATCTTAGAAAGATGCAGATGTTGGACGGGTAAGTGCATTTATCACTTCTCGGCACAGGCACAGACATTTTCCATGGACACATGGAAAGCATGCATATCCAAAAGCAATCATAGACATATACATGCAAGTTATCCAACACACACGCGCAGTCGGAGGATCGGCAACAAGTTCCCTGTTGCTACAACACATCTGCTCAAAACAACCTGCAGCAGTCAGACACCATTAACGCTGAGGAGCATCCAAATTCTGCATCTGTTTTCTATCTGCTGTCCGGATCTCCACCTTTACTCTTAGACGATAAACAAACTTTCATTTGCCCTTAGCTAGGGTTCATGTTTGTTCTAATGATGAAGCTTTATCCCAAAAACGAAATGGGTTTCCACCTCGGGCTACAATCAGCATCGCCGCGTGGGTCTGAGCAAAATACAAAACAGGTGCATACGTCGTAAAATCGTCCTCTCATTTTCCTGCGTTATGAGCAACCACAGCATGTTTCATACTCATAAAATATAATAAGTTATGATGACTTGTTTTTAGTAATGTTCGTACAATAGCGGTCATCTAAGGCAGTACATCAGGGGGTCGTATTTAGAAAGCTGCTCCACTAAATCTCCAAAGTTTCCATTACATGCCTGGCTGGTCCCCTGATGTTAGCGACCAGGGAGAGGAGAGCATTGCTCTGCCAAGAAGCTACCATTGAGCCAGAACACTCCCACACACATGTACTGTCTACACAATACACACTCGCAAAGGTTTGGAGAGGCTCTTCTTCGCTCATTAACAACAGGATTGTCATTCCCAGAAAAAATACAATTCTGTCTGAGAACAGTGATTGTTTGTGACAGGAGGAGAGAGAGTGTGTATGTTTGTGCACTGGTGGGTGGAGGATAAATCAGCGGCGGTACCAAATTAGCAGCAATGTGCTGTTCTGAGTGCTGCGGTCTTACTCAGCATGTTAAAGCTAATCCGCGTCTCTCTGCAACCCTTCTTCTGAGTTTGACGGTAATTCTGACTGAACACACCACAGGCCGCAAACAAACATCCGACACCAGAGAGAGGGGATGGAGCGAGGGGAGGGAAAAGTGATATTATAGAGATAGGGGGACAAAATCAAGAGGGAAGAGTGAGGTAAAGAGAGACAGAAAGAGAAAAGCAGAGTTTTCCCAGTCCAGTCAGCCATGTGGCAGCCTCAGCGGAGGAGCCGACCTGCAGGAAGACCCGCAGATTGTGAGGTCAGCTGAGCTCCACTCCCCCGTGGAAACACACACACACACACGCACTCACACACTCGCCGACCACAACACTTAACCTGAGTCACCCTTGGAAAGCTCTCTGTCTGATAACCTGTTGAGAAAGCGGTGGCAAATGATCAGATTGATACATTTACATATATTTAAAGAATATGTTGGAGAGGAAGGCTCAGCACAAATTGGTCCAATGCAAGTCTTTTATGCCAAAGCCAGTAATTCACTAAACCGTCATCAGGGCAATTTGGAAAAACGATATTTGCACACGGGAAATTCTTGGCTGCAGATCCCTGGGTCAAAATAAAATTGAAGAGGAAATAAGTATCACAAGTTTCTTAAGGGAAATGAATTCTGCACACACATCTGGAAAGCGATAAATGCCGATATAAAAGCCAAGGAATGGAAAACTCTGGTTCATGTCAACATTG